CAGTGCAACAAAGGGTGTGGGGCGGAGAGGATGGTGGAGGATGGTGGAACAACAAGAGTGGGACTCGCGCTCGCCAACTGGCGTTGATATGTCACTGTTCCTTTTCAGTCAGAGTTCCGCCACAGTTCCACGAGCGCTCACGTACTCGCGATTCTTTGAAGCCGACTGAATCGCGAATCGCCACTCTCAAATTTGGCGAGCAGGATCCAGCCCTACTCTCTGCCAAGACAAAACAAACTATAAGAACAAAGAAAGATAGCAGTGACATTAAAAAGAAGAGCAAGCATATGCAAGTAATCTTTACCACCGTAAAATTCTTTGACCTAAACAACACTGCAGAATGAAGCAATCCACTCCATATCACGGTAGACTGTCAACTAAACCGGCACCAACATTTTGATATCGTGGTATTAAAAAGAAAACATCAAACAACACAAGTCTTACCTTTATCTCGCCACACTTGTGCTGAGCCCAAAGTTCAATTGCTTTCTCCTCTGCGCTCGAACATTTGATAGTGGCTTCAGACTGTGGGACGTCCTCCGCTGGGTTGTACTGCAGGATGTTTACACTCCACTGTGCCCCTGGGGTGCTTGACAAGGACCAGCACAGCTGGCCTAGATGCTCGCTACTTAACGAAGCCGTGTTCGCTTGCTGTGTGTCCGCTGCTAAAATCAAGGAAAGGTAAAGACTGGATCAGTTTCCCTTTTTCATAATTTGTATTAACATCACAAACAGGGTCGGCCTATATCGTTTTTCTTTTTTTTTGGGGGGGGGATTCAATTGACAAAAGGTTATAAAAGTAAAAAAAAATAATTAGAAAATAAGGTCACAAGTTTCTAAATGTATTGGGTATTTAAACATGCATACACCTACCCATACACCCCAGCAATCACAAATGTGTGGCAGGCTGACAAAATGAGTTACTTCTCGCAATCCACAAATTGAAATATTGGCAAAAAATCAACACCAAGGTCAAATTAGTAGTTCTTCTATTGATGCTCTATTTAATATGTATAACATGCCTCTTATTATTTCATACTTATAAATTGTACAATTTCACTATAAGCATGATGTTTCTATTTCCACAAGGCTTGAATCCGAGAAGTAACTCATTTTGTCTGCACACTTCACAAATATAAACATGTTCACACACACATACACTCAGGAATGCATGCAGAAACACACACACACACACACATACACAAACATACACACAAGACAAACTAACAGACAGACATATACACACACACGCTTATGTATGTTTAAAATGGGTGTCAGTGGATGCAGACATCAACTACTCAGTGCAAAACTCAGCCATAAATCACTTTTCAAAATGGCATAGATCTAATATTATGGTGGAGTTTAACACTAAGCAGTTGATATACATTTATGAATGTGAAGCATGCTTACTGTGTGGGTAGATGTATGTGTGTGTGCGTGTGTGTGTGTGTGGGTGGGTGTCTGTGTGTGTATGTGTGTGTAGGTGTCTGAGTGTGTATGTGTGTGTGGGTGTATGTGAGCGTGGGTGTCTGTGTGTGAGTCTGTGTGTGTGTGTGTGTGTGTGTGTGTGAGTGTGTGTGTCTGTGAGTGTGAGTGTGTGCGTCTGTGTGTGAGTGTGTGTAGTGAGTGTGTGGTGTGAGTTCGCGTATATGTCTATTTTCATTCACGTGAATGAGTGTGCATGCATGATACGGCATATCTGTCTGTCCATGTTGCCCTTTCAACCCACTCCACAATCTCTCTAATCCCCAGAACCTCAGAGAATCCTACCTGCCCGTCTCCCGTGGAGTAGAGCCTTCAGAAGGCCATTTTGATGCGCCTCACTCTCATGGAACTCTGTGTTGGCCAAGCTGCCACGTCTCAGCACCTCTGACAGAAGTGTGACCCAAAGCTTCGACAGTGCTGTCTTGGCATCAGCACCTGTGTACATTTCAAATAATATACGGTGTAAATTTCAAATGGTAAAGGTACATACAGTGGAGTCTGCTCAAACTAAAATCTGCAAGACATCCGAATTTTCATTGGCTTAAACCAGGTCTCGGGTTTAGAGAGGTTGCTCAATCAGTTGAAAAAAATCCAGGATTTTCGTAGCTTTTGGTTTACCACTGTTTTTGGATTAATTATGTTTGGTTTAAGTAGACTCCTGTCTATTTTTTCTTCATCATCTAAGCTACAAACTCTTCAAAGCAAAGTCAATTACGTACGGCGGTGTATTTCAAAGAGAAAAATTGTTTGCTTTTAAGCACTGACTAACAAACTCTTGAGAGTGCAGTGGCCCACATTTCATAGAAATGAGTAAGCTTTAAACAGGGCTTTCAACTATTGTCATATAACCATACCGCAACTAAGGGCAGATTTCGCTTTTCAACTCACATTTAAATAAAAGGAAAGGTCTAGCATACCAATATCGAATTCTCTTTCCTATTATTATAATCAGGGGATTGCAGTCTCAGTTTAGAAAAAGAAAAATTCCAGAAAAGCTACTAGTAAAACTTAACTTTTCTATTTTAGTTATTAATATTCAGTAAAGAATACTTAAAATAACTGCTACAATTAAAGAATACTTACCTGGTGAAATCCCAAGGATCTTCTTGACATCAGCCATAGGAACAGAGACCAGGTATCCTATCAGAGTGAACAGGTTTGGGATGCTGTCTTTGAATCTTCCCATTGGACTTGACACAAACGCCTCAATCTTCTCTGTGATTTTGTCCAACAGTCCAAAGTCCTTCATGCAAGCTTTGAGAGGGTAGCAGCAACACATGAGCAGTGACATGAAGAAAAAAACCCCAGAAAGAAGAGAAACATTAAATAATATCATGAACTGATCTAATATGGTCGTTTGATTTTTGTTCCTTTAAATAGTTTTAACAAATTTTTTGTTACTTTTCTCTGGGATCTTCTCTCAAAATACAAGATAGTTTCATGTAGAAAACCCCCCAGTTAGATAGAAAAGTGCAGGTACATGATACGGAAACAAAATGTGAAACCAGCACAAAATCGAGCATATGAAAAAGTATGTTAGAAGAAGATGAAGAAGAAGAAGAGTAAGAACAAGAAGAAGAAGAAGAAGGAGAAGGAGAAGGAGAAGGAGAAGGAGAAGGAGAAAGAAGGAGAAGGAGAGGAAGAAGGAGAAGGAGGAGAAGGAGGAGAAGGAGAAGAAGAAGAAGAAGAAGAGGAAGAGGAAGAGGAACATGAAGAAGAAGAAGAAGATAATTTCTATAGCGCCTACAATAATCAACACAAGGTTTATTAGAAAGTGTTGCATGTTTTACTGGTGGCGAAATAATGTACATGCATCCATAAATGCAAGAAATTCTCATTAAGAACTATAGAAGAACCCAAAACAAAAAAAGCTACCCAAAAAAATATCTATTGTAAAAACCCACCATTGCAAGTACTCTGAAGGGCAAATATGAGCTTGAGCTGGTTTTCTCCGATGTGATGTTTGTACAGCTGACTGATCATGTTCCCCAGCACCATGAAGAGGACGTCCATCTGTGACTCCGAGTAGGCCAAGGGATCCAATGTACACAGGTAGCCCAAGCTTGGCCGCAGGCAGCTCTAGGATCAGAGTTGAGCAAAGCAAAGTAAATATGTGCTGCAATCAATAAAATACACTAACATTTTTTGGGGGTTTTTTTTCTCATTTTTTCTTTTTTTTTCCTTCTCATTTTGCCCATTTTTTTTTTTTAAACAAAAGTTTTGAATTCGGGATTTGAGTCACCTTATGTCATGTATGTACGCCTACATTTTGTATATAGGTTCCAATATAGTAGCTTCCCTTTTTGAAATTTGGCGACTGACTTGAATTCAAGGTGCGAACTCAAGTAGCACGGAAGACAAATTTGGTATACAGTAAATCACGAGATATAATTACAGGTAAATTTCATTCATAAACAACTGTTAAATCTGACTTTCCGATATTTTTGTTCTTTCCGTCTGTAGGCACAGTCAATCTGTCTCCGATTTTCCTACCGCTATACGACAGACATTGAGTTTAGTACGTACTTCTCTTTACTCAAATGAAACAAACTCAACTAAGAGGAATGGAAGGGGACAAAAGTTAACTCTTTCACTACGGCTCGCATTACCCCTAGCGCTGGACCGCGAGCTGTGTTTCACGGCTCTCCACTTTCGGCTTCAAAACCACACATACTTTTGTAATAATCAAATCAGAAATCTCAGGCTGCAAAATGATCGTCTTTACCAACATAGGTCATTATTTCTACTTTATTTCCGTATATAATACATGTGGCTAATATTGAAAATTGAACTTTAAAATCTTTAATTTGTCCGACGGTAGGCAGAATCAGAAATTAGGTCACAGATAGGGCCCGGTCACGGTGAGGAACACCCCCCCAAGTAGTGAAAGAGTTAACAACGATTGATTGTAACTGTTTTACACCACAATTGGCACTTTGCTACCCTAGAATTACAAAGTTCTATCCACTCAGTATCTAGTTTTGAGTTTCACAACATGTCAAGCTTCTTTAAACGCAGTTCTTTGAATATCTTGATAAAGACTCCGAATAATCTTACGATTTTGTAAGAGCAGAAAGAACATTTAGTTTCTGACCTAATGGTCTTCATCATCATACGGTGCCTTGCCGACTGGCGTGGACGATCATGGACCTCCACTTCACTCTGTCTTGCGTTGCAGCAATGGTATCTGTTGTTCTTGCTGCTCCTAGCCATGTTGTCATCTTGTCCAGTATCTTTTCCCTCTGTCTGCCTCTGCCTCTCTTTCCATCAAACTTGCCTGTTGTTACAATATTCTCCAATGCTTCTTTCCGCATTGTGTCAAAAGAAATTTGCATGTTGCTTTCTTATATTCGTCACAAGCTGTCTTCTACAATTTGCTTCAACCAAGACTTCTTCATTTTGTTTTTCTAGCTGTCCATGGGATATGTAGCATGCGTCTTATGTAACTCAAAATGACCAAAAATGTCAGATATAGAATTGTAAAATTATATCTTTTAATTCTAAGGTAGTGACATATTAGGTCACTTAATTATGAGACGCAAAAAGCTTGCAAAAGTGCGACATATTGTGAGAAACGGTAAAAGGTCATTATTACCTTCACTCTCTCCCAGTGTACGGGATGAACATAGAGAGGAAGCCACGCGTTGATTGGTTCTCTACCAGCTCCCACAGTGGCATATCCAAATTCTGAGGACTGGCTTCCAAAATAAAATCCTCCATGAGCTGACAGTTGTCCTCCCAGATTGATTTTGTACTCAAGGGCATCCATAATGGATGATCTGGACACAAGAGAAGCACTGATACTGTGAACACGAATCTGCAGAGTAGAAAAAAATTACATATCAAACTATGATAGCTGAAGGACCTTTGTTTTTCTGCAAAAACACTGTGCGATCACTGAGTTTAGAAAACCAATTCTTATGTCGGAAAACAGCCTTCCCTGCTATCTTTCTTCTACAATGTACATCCTCCCAAAAAGTTAACTGTAAAAAAGTGCTCGCTTGCAGCATTTCAAAGTGTAAAGCTAGCTTCCTAGCTGATTGCCATAGCTTTCTCTAAACTTATTTTGTAAACATGAAGTATATCAAACCCAGTTTTGTTTTCTGGGCAGCATTGATTAAAATAAGTTCAATCTTAAACACCCTCTCAAAAATGATTTCAAACAGTAGAAATCATGTTATAAGATGCAATCAGTCTAATAAGAGAAATGACAAGGACAAGGCAAACAAGTAAAATAGAATCATTCGACTCACCGAGGTTGGATCGTCGATGACATGCTCAGGCCTTGACACTGCCAGTCCAATACCAATAGCATTGCCGAGGTCAGTCCCGTCCAGGAGAATATCCTTCACAGAGCACTGAGACAAAATACACAAATAGAACTCCAAGGCATCCTGAGACAAGGAGACCAGGTCTTCCTCACAAGCAACCTTTGCCGTTTGGGTGTCGGACTTGACCACGTTGAAGTTTTGAGCAACTCTGCGATTCATGAGCCGTTGTCTCCTTGACTTGTTGAACTAGGAGAAAAATAAAGAATACATGAAAATAAGAGACAGTCAAACCTGTTGTAACGGTCATCTATCCAAGACAGTCGCATGTACAACGGACCATGACTTTCCACTTCCCGGCATAAAAAAAAATTAATTATGACAGTCCAAGATAACCATTTTTCTCCTCGACACTGGGTAGCTATCTCAGACAATTGGGTGATTGGTGGGTGCTCTGGTGTGGTTTGCTTCTTCTTTCCTATCTAACATCTATTGTCCTTATCTCCCCTCCTTCTTTTTTTGTGTTTGTTACTCTCTTGCAACACCTCTAATCTTCTGGCGCTCATATGACCTTAGGCAGTTGTGAGCGCCGTAAAACCTCTACTAAAACTAAACTAAAAACACAATTTCAACAGAGCACCTTAACCCTTAGAGCCCGAGAAACAATCTGACCGGTCCGGAACTTTATCGATGCGTAGCTCAATACACCCTTTCACCGGTTTGGGATCCAAGTGAGCCTGAGCCAGGCCCTTCTAGGCCTAAACGTGTGTGCCAAAAAACTATTTAATTGCTCTAGATATGAGGTAGGCAACTCTGATTATTTTCTGTGTGGATATTTTGTTATTGTGTGTGACGTATATGTTGTTGTGACCTATGGTTCATTTCCTTAAAACGGCCTTCAAGGCCAGGCAGGGGGTCTCCCCCGGGGTTAGCAGAGTCAGGGCTCAAAGGGTTAATTTCCTAGTTAGTGATTTCTCCCACAATCATCCTTTGATACGTATATTTGTGTCGATTCATATCCAAAACAAATTCTGAACTGTCTGTGAAACTCGAGTCGTTTCACGACTTTGTTCGTTCAATAATTTAATAATCTGACTTTATATGCTTCAAATATACATCTTTGAATCATACATGACATAGTAAAGAGGCCTTCCCCCAACCCATTTCAAATGCTTAACATAGTGCACAACATCCAGGGTCACTGCATTTGGGGTAACAATAGGTTTTGTGCATAATATTTAAGGAACAGAAAACAGCTGGCTGTGACAGTTGTGAAGTGGTAAGGCCAAGGGGAGTTTTACTTTACTCTATCCATGGCGTAGTTCCGTTGGAATTCTCATTTTTCTCAGCTTCATGAGACGCCTCCCCCCCCCCAAAAAAAAAATAAGGATGAGAAAGCTTGGCTTTATGCAGGGTGTATAACTATAAATTATAACAAAAAATGTTAACAAAAGTAGCTAAAAGGTTGTAAAACAAAACAGTAAGAACTGAACAACAAAGAAAAAACTTGGTGGGCTTCTAAAAAACAAGAGACTACCGTATGCCACAGAAATCAGTTACACTGTAAACACACCAACCTTTGCCTCGTATCTGAGGTCATGTGCCCTGGCAAGGAGAGAGACGCTTTGGGCTTCTCCTCTCAGGCATTGAGCCATCACGTCATGGAGTCGGTCCATCTGAAAATAAAAATTTGCATTAAGATTTACTGTAAACTACTACTACCCAAAAGAAAAACTTAAACACTAACAAAACCAAACTTCAGAACGTTGAAACTGTAAACCACTTTGACAAGACATAAAAAGGCTTAGCCAAGCCAAAAAAATGTCAAGAAGTGTTTTGTGAAAGATTTATGAAAATAAGTTATAATTGGGATCTACAACAACGGAGGCAAAGAACTCAAGAAGAGGTCTACTAAAGATCTCTTATCAAATGAATGAAGGAAAATATGAACATCTCAGATAATCAAAATGAATCTCTCGATATAAACACACACATTAACACCTATACTCATATAAACACACACACACACACACACACACACCCCACACACACATTCAAATAAATGACACTCAAACTTCTACATATGCAGACAATACGTTTCACACATACTCAAACATGAACAAATGGCTACACATAAATTCATCCCTGAAGACATCAACCGTATCTTTCAAAGTTTACACAAACTAATTCCCCCCCCCCCCATTTATATCAATGAAGAACACTTCCTTAAAAGCAAAACTGAATAGCTTTAATACCCCTTTCAATATTTTACGGATATTTAACTCTTTATCTCTGGCAAGCCGCTCCCAGCGGCTCGCTGTCGGAACCACTATGCTGGTGAGCCGCTGACAGCGGCTCCAGCACATTCCTGTACGACGATCTCAAAATCAAATTATTTTTTGGCAATTGCCGAAAATAGGTCTCTTATACTGGCAGTTCATTCATTAGATGAAGAACTATCAAAATAAGTTTGCTAGTTTCCATTTAATGACCCATTTAAAGAAGTTTTTGTCATTTTTAGATTTAGCACCAAAAAAGGGCCCCAGTGTAGTGGGTTTACCCTCCTCGGAGATAAAGAGTCAAGAGGCGGGATAGCCAAATTTACCTTCCATTTCCAATAAGACCAAGCCAAACGGATGGAGAGCCATAAAAAGTTCCCAAAACAACCCAAGTATAGAACGCCCTGTTGGGGATACAAACCAAGGCTGTTCACTCTGTTGTCCCGCATGACACCAACTGCGCTAAAGGCGCACCCGTATCTTTTCAACCTTGAACCACAAAAGAATGTGTGAGGCAGTGTGGTGAAATCAGGCTCGCTTCAAAATAATCAAAATGAAAAACTTGCATTTTTCTGCAGGTTTGCGAATTTTTATCGAATTTTTGTTTTTTGGACCAACACCTTTCATGCCCATTAAAGAACTCATTTCTGTGTGGATTTTTCTGAAAAACGTTGATAAAATGTACAATAAATGTAAATTTCCAGTTGCCACGGACTCTTAAGCTAAGGAAATAACTAATCTTTGGCGGCCATTTTCTCACTAATTTTACCTCTGAAAAGAGGTGACCCCCACTTCCTTCATTCGCAAATATCTCAACTTGTATTCAAGATAAATGGATATTGTTTTCATCCAAATAAAGACTAGTGAACAAGCTTTAAGATTATACCAATAACTCTACAAGCCCAAAAATTGACGAGAGCCTGATTCCACCACGCTGCCTCACATATAAGTAAATGTAACTCTGACCAGATCGAAGTTCCTCACCTTACTCTGATTCTCTTTGATTAACTCAATGAGCTCCTCTCGAGTGGCCTTATTAAAACCTGGTCTGAACACCTCCGCATTTGCAAGTTTTTTCTGCAGGACATCAAGGCGTTTTTGCAGTTTGGAGACATCTGAAACATTTCAAAATCAAAACCTAGGTTCAAGTAGAGTAACATCTCAAAATAGGTTCAACAGCTCACCTTTGGGTGGACAACCCGTTTCAGGATTATCTAGGTCATAAAGATTTTATAATAGAGATATTGGGGTGAATGAACTTGAATACGAATAAGAGGCACTCATGTAGTGGTTAATTAGGAAGAAATCATGTGTATAGAGAAATAAAATGAAAACAAACATAAAGACAAATTAGAAACCAATATGAGCGCTGCAGGTAGGGCCTACAGTACAAATTGACTAGGATGGCCTCTCACTATTGAGGAGAAAAGTGGTCATCTTAAGGTGTCATCATAATATAATATATAATTATATATAACATTTATATAGCGCATTTCCAAAAAAGTAGCTCACTGCGCTTGTAAAAAATGTAAAAAAATTCTCAAGCGAAGAAATGAGAATTGGCCATTTGTACAGATGACTGTCTTGTGCAAGTGCCTGTTTGTACAGATAATAATAGTCTTATACAGGTGGCTGTTGGAGCACGTTCGACTGTATTTAGGCTAAGAACTGCAGATGGCAACCTAATCAGGTCTGTGAAGTTTTAGTAATGCACCTTTAAGATGTATGCTACCCAAGCACATATGTGCTCATTTCGTGACGATGTGTAAGCGTGCGCGTGTGATAAGCAAGTAGATGTGTGTGTGTGCGCGCGCGTGTGTGTGTGTGTTTGGCGTACATGTGTGTGCACATGTGTGTGTGTTAAGTGTGCGTGAGTGCGTGTGTGTTTGCGTGTGTGTATATGTATGTGTTTGTGTGTGTGTGTGTATGAGGGTGTGTGTGCGTTTGTGTGTCGCGTGCGTGAATATTGTTGGTACATGCATTTATGTAAAGCACCTAGAGCTGTGTTTACACGGGAGTGGGTGCTATAGAAATGATCTTCATTATTATTTTTATTATTATTATTATGCATTATAATATGCCACAAAAGCAGTAGATTCATGGACAGTAGAATAACTTTACTTTATGGAGCATAATTAAGAAACAGAACAAAGCTAGCTGGTCAGAAGGGATGTATCCCGTCACTGCAGGCTATACTGAAATTCAATAAAGTGGAGACACTACATGGCGTCGGTGGCCTAGTGGTTAGGCTCTCGGACTCCCAACCGTAAGGTTGTGGGTTCGAATCCTGTCACGGGCCTGACGTTGTGTCCTTGGGAAAGGCAATGGGTACCCGGCTATAGACAGTGAACGATCTTGTCAGTTTGATAGTGTCTGAGCACGTGAAATCCGCAGCTTGCATGGTATGCTTCCGCGGAAGCCGAGAATGTTTCTGAGTGTTCTCAGAGGGTCTGCCGGGGTAATAATAGTTATAAAGCGCATAGAGCATGCTCTAGAGCATGGGTATGCGCTATATAAATGCAATTATTATCATTATTACTACATGGACAAATTTGAATATTTATCTCCTGGGACATTCTCTCTATGACGGTAATCAAATAACCCACCTGCTCCGGCCGTGACAGCATCAGACAACTGGGAACCTAATATGTCTGCGTTCCGAGAGAGCACGGCTATATTCCACAAGGCCCGTTCACTTTCACTTTTGAGGACTACACGATTCACGCTGTTCACAAGGCATGGAATTTGCAAGTTGAACTTGTTCCTTTTCTGAAAAAAATCAAGTATAACAAAGTATTAAAGGAGACACCCCGAAAAATCTTGCAAAATATTGAAAGGAATCTCACGTCTTTAACCCTACCCGTATGTCGTATTTTACTATCGTATCCATACGACGTGGGGAACTCTGTGCCACCACATTCCAAAGAGAAAATTTACTCGTTAGTCAGATCCGTACAAAATGACCCCAGGGCATACGGATAGGGTTAAATATGTAAAACAATATCATTTGCACAATGAGGTTTTTTTCAAAATCTCAGCCAAACAATACGCCTGCCTATGCAATGCTCTTGTAGCCTACTGGAGAAGAAGAATACTTCACCCACAAATAAAATTCAAAGCATAAAAACAAGGTCTGAAATCCTAGTGAGCCCTTAATGATAAGAAATATGTAGGCCTCACCCTTTTAGAAAATATTCTGTCCAGATTGAATTAGGTTAAAAAAAGTGTGTGCAAGAACAAAACAAAACCCAAACAAAGAATAGTAATGCAGTCAAAATTGTCCAAGACAGGCACTCATTATGAGAGGTGAAAAGGTTGTCTTAGACAGGTCGACATCTTAGAGAGTAATTAATAAAACATGGTAAAAACTGCAAGGGGGAAGTAGGAAGTGGTTGTTTGTACAGATGATTGTCTCGGACAAGTTGTTAACAGAGCAGGGTTGTTTTTTTTTGGTAAGTGTTTTACGGCACTTGCAACTGCATAAGGTCATATATGAGCGCTCAGTATACATTAATCCTATCCGTACCTAGTGTTTTCCTATCGTATCCATACAATGTGGGGAACTCTGTGCCACCACTTTCAAAGAGGAAATTTACTCATTAATCCGATCCGTACGCTTTTCCATAGCAGTCTGTCAAAATAATGTTTTGAGAAATACTGAAAGTTCCAAAGAGATCTTCGTACTAGAGGTATTCTAAAATGTGAAGAATACAACCCAGGGGGTACAAAATGACCCCAGGGCATACGAATAGGGATAAGGCTATTTGGATTCAAACCTTGAACCTATTGAATGAGAGATGAACACCTTAACCTCTAGGCCACGAGAACCCCCTCAGAGCAGGTTTGACTGTATCTGGTAATACATCCAACTCTGAACATCATATCATGTTGACTTGTTCACAGTAATTGTCTGTCTTGTTTTACAATCTTTACGCTGAAGGAAATATAGGGTTTTACACATTATCCACACATTATCCGTTGGATAATGAAGAAAGAAGAGGTACTAGACACTGTACACATGTTTACCTCAATAATCTCCATTTGCATTCCAATTTGAAAAGTAGGAAGTAGAGTTGAGTCCGCCACATAGAGCCAGCATTCTCCCTTCACTTGCATATCTGGAAAACAAAATAACTCGGTTGACTTTTTCTTTCACTCTTCCTCCTAATTCTCCTTCGCCTTCTTTTCCACTCACTCCTTTTTCTTCTTCTCTTTATCCACCTCTTACTGCTATAGCACACTATACAATAGGGAGCTGTCAGTTTATAGTATATAATTGGTACATACATATTATGTCCTAATTGTCCTGCAAGTCCCCTTAAATGCTTGCTAAACTAAAACTAAAGCAGAAGGAAAAAAAAAGGACCAACTGTTGATAACAATAAGAAAGCACTACTTCTTTACTGAAAGTCAGACGAGTGGACAGTTAAGCTCTTTGATGTTGTTACATGCAAGAGAGACTAGTTTGAATCCTGAGTGTGGAAGTTATTCTTAACGAGTCCATCTGACTCAGCCTGGGTTGGCCCCTGACAGGCAGAGTGGAAGAAGCCCACTTCCAAATTGGTTTGAAGGGGGTGTAAAACATGAACAGTCAATTAATACATACGGATCAGTTTATGAAAGCTTCAACTAAACCTTTTCAAGGTAAGACTGCCTGCGTTCTCAGTCCCAACAAGTTTCAAGTCCATGCCACTAAAGGTAAGCCCTTAGGTCAGCTGGAAAGACGTTGCACCTGCCCTAAATGGACATAAAAATCAAATCCATTGCTGAACCTAGCCTTTTTCAAACACTTAAGCTTCTCGCACCCCCCCCCCTCCCACTTTCCAAATCATATTTGAGTGGAAATTAATTCACAGGTTCAACCCACTTTGATTTGCATTGTGTAGAAAGGGGGTATTGGAGAATTGCCACTGAAAGACAGTGTGATATGATGGGGAAAATATTGCACAAGTTTCAAATTAAACTTCTAAAATCAAATACAGTATCGCTACCTTCATGAGTTCCATCTTCTCTCTTGGTAGCCATCAGGACTCCCTCAATGGTACCAGAGGTTGAGCCATTAGACACAAGCTTTGTACTGCCATCAGTCATAGAAATGTCAAAGTGAACAGGGCGCCCATCTCTGAAAATAAAGTTAATAAAAATAAATAACTGTGAAATATATTTAAAATATATATTTAAAAGAGTAGAAAGAAATGGAAAGGGTGAAGGGGTGGATGAGGTAGAAGTAGAAAGGATTGAGACCGAAAAGAGTAAGATAGTGAGAGGAAGGGCACAGACAGTTCATATAAAACATTGTGAAAATACAACAGCGAAGAAGAGGCGTGTCACAACGCCGTGGAATCAGGCACTCGTCAATTTTGGGGCATGTAAAGTCCATTACTATTAGGCAAACTACCTCTATTGCCTTAGTATTTAGGAAGACCTGGCAACTGTAACCACTGGCACGTATTTTAGAGAAGAGTGGTCACTACTGGTCAGTAATAAAGAGTACGTCCACCGGTACAGTCGTGTCTGGCTCCTGTTGCTTTCAATGTCTGTCTAGATCTACATGTTGTGATTGTGATGTCCCGACGGTACAGGGCATATGGGGTTATTGTTGTTATCTTAAAGCCTTTCCATATGTCTAGCTTTTGATGGAAAAAAATATCAATTTATCTTTTGTATAAGTCGAGATATTGGCGATTGAAGGAGGTGGGGGCCACCTAGTTTCAGAGGTAAAATTAGCAAGAAAATGGCCGCCAAATTTGGGTCATTTCCTTAGCTTGAGAGTCTCTGGAAACTGAAAATTTACATTTTTTATGCCTTTAATCAATGTTTTTCAGTAAAATCCACATAGAAATGTGTTCTTTAATGGGCATGAAAGGTGTTGAGCGATAAAACAAAAATTCAATAAAAATTCCAAAACCTGAAGGAAAGTGCCAGTTTCTTCACTTTCGTTATTTTCATGAGCGCCTGATTTCACCACGCTGCCTCACATGAGTCTATATTCAAACTATTACTTACATGTAGTTATGTTTTCAGAAAAACCAAGATAAAATTTCTTCCAAAAAAATAAAAAGGTATGTACAGTAATCACCTTAGATTAACATAATCAAACAGTTCTTCCAGTTTGTCTTTCAGAGCTTCTGGGCCGTCATCGTTCTCACAATATCTGTAGATACCTTCAGCTGTGCCAGCATGTGCAATCTTCTTCAAAAACTGGAGGTCATGATCTGTGTTGAGAGATGAATTATTGCAAACTTAAAAAGCAATCAAACAAAACAGAAAAAAAACACATACTTTCTTCTTTGCGTTCACATGCTAGATCTCAGGGGTTGTCCTTTTAAATCAACAGTTACCAAAGAGATAATTTTTCTTTCATTTTAAATTACAACAATTGAAAGACTGTAGGCATAAGTATCAATTTTCTTACAAATTCAATGTATCACTCATTCTCAACACAGATATATGCTAGCATCTTAATTACAAAGCAAAAATTTCTCACTCAGTTACTTCCGATTTAGATGTTGAGCTGTAACAGTAAAACTGTAAATACTTGCTTTTACTGATCTTTCTCCATACATGTCGGCTACAATTTCAAAACTTGTTTAACACAAAAGTAAAAGCCTCATCTATACCCTGAAAAGTATAAATCACTCACATTTAAATATACATAACAGTATTCATCATCATCCGGTGCCTTGCCGACTGGCGTGGGCGACCATGGACCTCCACTTCACCCTGTCCTTCACTGCAGCAATGGTGTCTGTTGTTCTTGCACATAACAGTATTACGTTTTCATATTGGCTCACCTCGAGAAAATCCCACACTATGAACGATGACTTGATGCCCCTGATCTTTGATGGTGTTCGCCCATGCTTTGGCATGAAAGTTAGCCTGGGATTTGCCATTGCAGGTGTCACAGCCATCAGTGAGAAAAATTATAACTGTCTCTTTGAAGGGAATGTCTGTGAAACACAATATCAAACATAAGAGCAGATAAGTTAGAATTTTATTTTTAAAACTCAGAGGCAGATTTGTGACTGAAGGCTATCAATGGGTACAACTGTTACTGCCTTGATTCCATTTTGGTTACATTGTTTAAGGTTGTTTGCTGGGTAGGGTTTACCAGGGAGTGGGCAGTGAACGGGGGAGAGCATAATTTTAAATCAATTTCTTTTCCAAATGTAGAAAAGGATATTTCCAAGACAGAGCCCTTGTTTTCCCCATAGTATATCAGTGGTGTCATACAGCATCACATCACCAACTTTTAACTCCACTACTTGGTTAAGTTCTAAAAACTAAAAGCATTAATAAATCAAAGCTATTAATTGTAGGCCTATTTGTCAAAATAGTGTGTACACTTCATTTTCCGCTGCTTCTACATCTGTTTCACAAAACTGTTATTATACATTGTCAATCCGACAAAATCTTCCAGAAAATCTTTTTAAAAAATCCTCATATCAGTTGTACATGGACCTAAACCTTTGGCACCCTAATCAAGTTTATCAAAAAAGTAGGCTACTGTACTGCCACTATCGCCTCAGTACAAACAAAGTTGAAACACATGACATGTAAAGTAGAATATTATTTTATATCTTTTGAATTTTATCACAGAGACAGAGAGAGAGACAGAGAGAAAGAGAGAGAGAGACTCGAGAGAGAAAGAGAGAGAGAGAGAGA